CCTTTCTTCTTTTTTTTCATCACAGGGATCCCGGCAATTGAGCCTCTATCAAGCATGTACAAGTAATCTTTTACCCTATTCCCTTGTTGAATCATATTACCATTCTTGTACACTTTCAACGAATCATTACTACCATAATATGTGTACTCCCGAAAAGCTAACTCACCCAAAGCAATTAAGTTGTAGCTACAACTCAATATATATCTTACATGACAAAACATCCTAATAACACCATTGTGAGATCTAAGACAAACACTCTCAATACCTTAAATTTGCACATTTTCTTTGTTAGCAACCACAATATCCTTATATTTTTCATTCTCATCCAACTCTAAAAAATAACTCTTATCATTGCAAACATGAACTGTAGCAATTGAATCTAAAACTCAACCTTTATCATCTTTCAAAGTCTGAGTCTTATCCATACAAGTTGTCAAAACAACATCATCATCACAGACACAACAGTAATAGTATCATTTTTTCTTTCATCTGATTTTTTCTCATCATTCGTCCTTTTGAAAGTAGTCATATCCTTTCTCAGCTTCTTGCAGTGCACTTAAATATGTTTTTTTTTACTACAATAATAACATTCTATGTCACTGTAATCTTTATCTCTTGACTTGGATTCCTTCTTGATTCATCAATCCTCTTATGAGTCATCCCTCAATCAAAACCCTCTATAGCTAGTGTACTCCCCCTTGATGATGAGTTTTATGCTTCCATAAACCTTTTGTTGTCACGTAACAGGGCAATCACATCATCTAACTTCAAAGTAAACCTACTCAACAACAAAGTCTGAACTAAAAGTCTATAAAACTTGGACAAACATGATAGCAAAATTAAAGCTTTCTCTTCATCTTTTAACTTATCAACAGAAATTGCCAACAATTGAGAAACTAATCTATTAAATTTATTCAAGTGATTATGAAAACTTGTACTTTTTTTTATCTTCAGAGAATACAGATACATCTTCAAATATAATCTGTTAGTCAATGACTTCAATGCATAAATGCCCTCAAGCTTATCCCACAAACTCTTTAAAGTACTCTTAATCAACATACTATACCTTTGGGGCTAGCGCCAATCTAATAGTACTAATAGCTTTCTTTTGAATTCTATTCCAATTACCATCAGACATTCCCTCAGGCTTACTACTCTTTAATGCTTATTCCAACCATTCAGAAGCACTTTTTTTATTCTTCATAATATAGCAGACAGAATTCCATTGGTATAATTTTGGACCTTCCAATCCATTTTTTCTCTGCCTATTCTACAATCATACGAAGAGAAATAATACTGATTCGGTCCTTAAATTTATTTGTGACCCACGAGGAGCCGTATGAATTGAAAATCTCATGTACGATTTTGGACTAGCGATGGGAATAGTGATGTTATCATCGACTATAATTATCTAACAGCTCAAGTGCAGTTGATATAATTGAGGCGCAATCAAAATATGGGGTTTGGGGATGGAATTTGTGGTGTCAGCCAATAGGGTAACGACAATTGGTATCTTTATTACATTAGCTAAAATTTATTTGTTTTTGTTTATTTCTATCGCAACAAGATGGACTTTACCTAGGTTAAGAATGGACCAATTATTAAATCTTGGATGAAAATTTCTTTTACCCATTTCTCTAGGTAATCTATACTAATAGCTTTCTTTTGAATTCTATTCTAATTACCATCAGACATTCCCTCAGGCTTACTACTCTTTAATGCCTATTCCAACCATTGTTGTACTAGCAGATCTTGAATCGTACTTTATCATAACATGAAATTATTCTTTCTATCAAATAATAGATTCTCAAACTTAGGCATAGGCATACTAAACATACTTTCTTCAGACATCTTGAAATATTTGCTTCACGATCTCTTGGGACCGAATTTTTTTCTTCCTACGAACCTTGCTCTGATACTATTTGTTAGAAAAATTACCACAGCTCTGATATTACTTATTAGAAAATCAACACGTATACGCAACATCCACACACAAAATAGCAAGCTCAAATAAAAAATTAGAACACAAATATATTTATTTTGGCCCAACTCAAAATAACTTACTCCAAACCTATCCACTATCAAATAAATCTTTACAATTGAGAGACTTTTAAAATGAAAAAAGTCACCAAAAACTCCTTATTCAAAACTTAACCCAAAACTTAATTATACCATTTTAATAGTCTACTTACATTATTATTTTCTTGATGTCTAATTATCTGAGACTATCAAATCAAAATCAAAATATCTTATTTATAATAGTAAAATCTCTTATACATTTACTAAATTTTAGATGTGAGATATAAGACAAATTCAAAACTTTTATAATTTTTTATATAAAATTATAAGATTCAAAGTAAATTTCAATATAAATTGCCAATTCAATAGCACTATATATCCTCACAAATATCGCAAGTTCGATCACAATGTCATTGATCATAAGAACATGGTTTATCAACTGTATTTTGCTTTTTATAGTAATTAGACGGGAAATCAAGAGTACTTTCTGTTAAATGTACGGTGAAGAAATACATCATGCATGGACATCGTCTTGCAGTTTTGAAATATGACGTACAAAATTAGTTGACTAAAAAAAGGCAAAGGGATCCATTTTTCTGTAATTTGAAGGAAAAGAAAAGTCAACTGCATTATTGCCATTTTCTTCAATCAATATCAGACAGATACTTAGTGCAACATTTTTTTTCTCCAGGAAAAGACTTGATGCTGCAATATTTCATCCCCTGAATCCTGCTAAATGTGAAAACAATAGCCGAATTATGTTATTGTAAGTTTGAATTTGGTGTAGCCAGCTTGGAAAGACGTTCAAATAAATCATACAGATATGTTAATTATTCTGAATATTAATGGACCATGTATTTCTCTTCTGATGATCACTTATTTTTTCCACCACCTCATTGAGGAGAAAGTGTGGGTACTAATCACATATTAGTTGGTTGAATCAATCTATCAAACTGAAACTGTTTCCTACTCATAATTACTTTCTGTCCTCGACAACTTGATCGAACCAAGAACTTGCAGGGTTGCATGCATGCATCAAACTTGCCTTTGATGCCTCCGGCTTTTGATCATCATCAGGGTTTTACTTTAATTATCAGTTATTTAATACCGTTTAATTTGGTCAGACTTCAAAGCATAACTTGTAGCATAAACAAAATTTGCTTGATTTAGATTGAAGGGTTTTGAAGCCGCAGTTCTCTTACTGATTGACATAGGGTTGATTGCTGTGTGGAAAAAAAAATCGTTGACATGACTCATCCTTATCTCATTTGCCATATAATTAAATAAATATGACTATTAACTGTTTAATTTAAAATTAATAGATTATAAGATAAGAAATCTAATTGAAAAATAAAATCACAAAAATTTAAGATTTAATAGTTATCGATAACATCACTTATCAATTACCAACTGTCTTGCATGAGAACAATAATAGAACAAAAGCAAGTCCTGTTACTATATTAAATATTTAATCTAAAATTAATTAATTTCAAGTAAAAAATTTTAATTTAAATATAAAATCATAAAAAATGTCATCATCACCTTAAGATTAACCATTGAACAAAACTCTTTGTTGCAAATTGTTCAACAGGTAGCTAGCTTGAAATATAAAAAATTATAAACATTTAAATCTCAAACTTATAAAGGATCAATTTTTAAAAATAATTATATAAATCAACTAAATTAAAATTTTGGTTCAAATGTAGCTTTGCTCTTAAATTTTGCCATACACTAATAACGGTGTATTTAATTAAACTAGCGTTGCAGTCATTTTCTAGATGTTCCCTAAAACAAAAACTTTAATTAAACAAAATGTGACGTAATATAATGATGAAATTAATTTAGGACGAATACTCGTTCATAGATAAAATTTACTTTTGGAATTATATTAGAATAATTAATTAATTTAATTGAGAGTCCAAGGATTCATGTCCCTATCACGTTTTGCTTCTAAACCTATGAATACAAAATTAAAAAGCTTGTTATGAATATAAATTGAATTGAGCACTTCTACACCTTGTTGGCTACTTTTCATCCATCTTTTTTTTCATAATTTTTAATTAATTTATTATTTTTTTAATATAAAATAAAATTTTTAATATAAACTGTTAGTCTTAAATTGATTATTGTTTTAAAATGATAAAAATTTTAACGATGTTTTTCAAATTAAATTACTTAAGATTTAATTTGAGCTTTTTAATTAAAAATTGAGCTTAAACATAAACTCAAATTTTAATTCAATCACTATTAAGATGTGATGTCTAATAGATTTAAAATTTGAATTTTTGAGAATAAGCTACAAGTTTTTTTTTTTTTTGTAAAAAAAGAAAGAGCTAAAAGGTAAGTTGAAAGGGATATTTCTTTAATCTCATGTAATCAGTGTTATAAAAAGACAGTAGCCCCCCGCTGATATGGTAAAAAATTTTATCATTATGCATGATTGCATGTGGATTAGTTTGGTAAAAATTTAATTTATTCAATTTTTGCACCTTTAACAGCCCATGGGTCTACTGCAATTACGCCCCCAACCTCCAATCGAAACAGGATCACACTCATTTCTACATTTGTCAGCAAAGAGGAAATAAATATTATAAACCCTCTCAGGTTTCAACATAGAAAATCCAGGATTGTGGAATCAGGAAGCGGTTTAAAAACTGCGTTGGCTCATATGTTGGAGTGTTTCAATCATTATTGTCATTGCCTCATATGTCAGAAAGAAGTATCATGTTTCTGGTCTCACTCTCTTCGTACTTTCTTCCCTGCCGTGATTCTAGTTTCTGCTCATTACTTATTTTTCGTGGTTGATTTTGCTACCCTCGGCTTGTATTCTTTTCCTGTCTTGGATCCAAAGAAGCAACAACTCCAATTGCAAAAAGTTGAAAGAGTCTTCTGTGGATTTTTTTTTTTTTTTTTTACATCAAGTGGCACCCCTCGTCCTGCTCCTGCTCCTGCAAACATAGAATAAAAGAAGAGTTGAAGAATATGAATACATGCTTTGCTTCTAAATTTTGGTGAATTTTTTATTAGAGACCCTGAGCAACTCTGTCTCTTTAAAGTCAGATGACTCCATTAACAGAAAAGCAAACCCTTTTTCCATGAATCTCAAGTAGGGGATATCTTTCCTTCTCTTTTATTTCTTTGTTTTTTTCTTCTTGTTTCTACTTTGATGCCAAGCAATTGCAAATTAAGGGATAGAAAGGTACTTATATAGAAAATTAAGCTGAAATGTTTGTATCAAAGCATCAATATGAGTTTGTGTGAGAAAGAAAATGATGTCCTGAGGCTGCCACTATTATGTATTAAACTAATTTACTAGCGCATTTAATGAGGCACAAAATCAGCAAATCTCAAGATCAAGGAGCATATGGATTTCTAACTGATGCAAAATCTCAACCCCTCTTACATTTTCATCCTTTGATTATAACACAACTAGAGCATCCCAACAGAAGAGGCTGAGAAAATACAAAGATGAAAGAAGAGGGAAAAAGGGGACTCAGGGTATGTTGAAACTAGTATACAGGTGTCAAAGCATAAAAAATTACAGCCTCCAAAAGTTTTGTGGGCGGAGGAAACATGTTTGCATCCCCAGATCAAAAACATCGTTGTAAAAAGTTTTTGTCCTTTATCAAATTAAAGCTCCTAGAATCACCAGATTTCATAGAGTGCTATTTTGGAAAATCTTCTATAACATTCCCTTGATCATAGGCAGCAGCCTCCTCCTGATATCTCCATCAGTTCAAACAACTTATACTTTGCTCCAAGAAATGACTGGAAAACAAAATTTTTAAGATGTTTAAAGAAATTGCTGCAATTGTCCATAAAAGCACAATATTAGGCATCAGATTACCCACCTGCTACTGATGTTTCCTGAGTGGTGTAACATAATTAAAAGTGCTCAATATTAGGTAAAGAGTTTGGAAACAAAAAATTACTTGGACAATGCACTATGCTCCATGTAGAACAAAATACCAGACTCCGTGTTAGGCTGTTACTTCTTGTTTTTGGGTTTAGATCTAACACAAAATTGCTCGTGGATGCATAGACTTAAACAACAATTCTTTTACAAGTTACTGTTAGTGTCCAAGATAAGCAGACATATGTAAAGAAAAGGAACGAGGATATGAAGATTAAATTCATCTATTTGAAGCAACATGGGCAAGGATTTGAATATACCTTGATTCTAGTGGGAGAAGCAGAAGACTTGGTCGAAGTTAAGGTTCCAAAGCCAAACTTTGGTTTCTTATCTGCAGGGTTTAATATTTGGAAAGAACACATTAACGTCTCATCCACGCTCATCACGGCACCAGCATTGTCAAACTCTCCACAGTAATTAGGTGCTGAAAATATGGTCACAAGTTGTCTATTAGCAAAGAATTCATATCCATCTTCAACAACCTGCAAGTGTAGATACCATTTAATGAGACAATTAAAGGAACCTGAGCTATAAGAATTTACCAAATGCTTCATTTAAATGCATTTAAACCTGGTGAGCACGACATATTAAATCAAGATCAAGCTTCTTGAGACAATCTATCACCCTATCAGCACCGAATATGTAGGAAACTCCCCTATCATTTGGCCCCCAGCCCTGAATGTCTTTACTAGGATCAGACCATAGGAGATCACATAGTAAGCCAGATTCTGGAACATCCATAGGTCTCTTTAAATTTCTTATCTGGTCCAAATTGTGGAGCTCTGGTGACAGTCCACCATGCATGCAGAATATCTTTTCCTCAATCAGAGCTGCAACAGGCAGGCAGTTGAAACAATCGGTGAATAATTTCCAGACCCTGACATTGAATCTTCGTTTACACTCATCATAAAATCCATAGATACGGTTCACAGACGCACATTCGTGGTTGCCCCTCAGGAGGAAAAAGTTTTCAGGATATTTTATTTTGTATGCAAGGAGAAGGCATATTGTCTCCAGGCTTTGCTTTCCACGATCTACATAATCCCCCAAGAATAAGTAATTGGCACGAGGAGGTAAACCACCCTTCTCAAAAAGCCTCAGGAGATCAGAATATTGACCATGAATGTCTCCTGGATAATGAAAAGCAGCAACATTTAAGACATATATGATATATCTATCAGCATAGGCCATGAAATCAAATAAATGTGAAATATAACTGCTTTTCATTGGAGAATAATCCGCCTCTTCAACAGTTCAATGGTAGAATCCCCTGATACAGCCATCAGTATGGAACTAATAAGCTGGAGAACTAGAAAGCACAATATATGACCCAGGTTTTAAATTTCAAAAAATGAAACAAAATTTGCAGCCAAAATTAGTAGCCACCATACAGTATAGAAAACAGAGAACTGACTCATATTTAAGATCTAAACTGTCATACATTGCAGAAGATCTAATTGCATTCAAATTGTCATCACATTCTCCTAAGTCAGGATTTAACGAAACAACATGGTCCATCCCAAAATGTGTCAACTGAATAACAATAATAACCTATGAACTACAAATCAAAACCCTCTCCAAACCTGACGGTTGTAATCACCAACAGAAATATTGCAATTAATTTTTGTTTAGAGTCAGGCTTGAAGTTCTTTTGCTGTATTTATGAACATCAAAATAAAAAAGTTTATGAACATAAATATCAATCAGCACCTTCAATACATAGGGTATCAAATTTAGAACATTTCATGGATAAATCAAACATCAAGCCACACCCAAAGCAAGTACTTTCCGAATTCAAACACATAAATCGGTAGCAACCTAGTTCAACAAGAATCAAATTCAACATAGAGACGAACTTAAAATGAAGAAAACAGAGTAAAAGAAGATACCACAGATCTTAATAGGTGCTTCAAGTTCTAAAAGAATGGGCTGCATCAAGAAGATATCTTTAGAAGCAAGACAAAGCTGCCTTATTTCAGACTCAGAGAGCTGGACTTGCTTCCCTGGTTTCCCTCTAACTTCAAGCAACCTATTGATTATACCATCAAGAAGCCCAGATTCCATAGTCCAACACCACCCTCCTCTCTTATCCTCCAAAAACAAAACTGATCACCTTCTTGGACCAAACAAGAAAGAAGAAGAAGAATAACAGAAAGCCAAGAAGATTCAAAAGCAAAGAGAAAGAACAAAGAAAGAAAGAAAGAAAGAAGTGTTCCACCACCTACATGCTATAATCTTCTAATGAAAGTGAAAGTGAAAGAGAATATTTTTCAGTTTAAGCATGGAATAGTCGCTATTGGTGAGCGGGGGTTTTTTTCATTTATGTTCGTTTGGTTCTTTAAATTTTTGTTTTTGGTGTAGCTTTCCTTGTTCACGCAGAAAAGAATTGTTGGTTGTTGGCCTTTTGTAATTAGCAGCAGCCACAAGAATATATTCTTAAAGTTCTCTTTTTGTTTAACAAATGACAGAAGAGAATGATAAGAGGAATCAGAAGAGAGGGTATAGAAAGAAATGATGAAATGAAAAAATGAAGTGAAAAAAAAAAAGCCAGAGAAAGCAAAAGAGTGTGCAAAGTAGGTGAAAAAATGGACCCCCAACAAAAACAATGCACCAGAGAAAAAAGAGATGATGATGGGAAATGAAATGAAAGAAGCTGACGCCTTTAAAATATACTGTTTAATAGTTTGACGGAAGGGGAAAGGCATGGTTTTGAAACAGCGGGTTCGGCAGCAGCAATAGCAAACTCTGGCAAGTGGCAAAGCGGGCTGGCATGGCGACAGTAGCACACCAGAACTCGATAGTTGACGCTGAGGCTGGATTCCAATTGTTTTACCGTTGATTTGATTGTTCCAATATGAGGCGGTGAAGCTGCCCACATGCTTAGCATCTGTGAAATGTGAATTCTTTTTGTTTGTTCTAATCGGAAACAGGGTTTTGTTTATTCTTTTATAATGACTTTTGTAGTCAAAGGGTGAACAATTATTATCAGAAGAACAATATTCTTGTAATCTCAACCTAATGAAAATACTTGTACGAAGTGGTCTAAATGTGTTCAACTCAAATTGGTTTAAAAAATAGGTTTTTTATTCAAAGAATTTAAACGATTCAAATAAAATGATAATCATGCTTAGAGTGGATAATTCAATTCATTTCGACGGATTTTGATTTAATCTAATTTTATAAAATTAATTTTTTTTTAAAATTAAGTTTTGGATAAGATTGAATAATATTAAAAAAATATTGAAATTGAATTAAATTTAAGTTTTAAATAAATTCAATCCGATATTATATAAAAATAATTTTTAAATTAATTAATTAATTTATATATATATATATATTTATATAATTATATATTTAAATATTTTATATTTAAAAATAATATTTTATATTTTAAAAAATAATATTTTATTAATTTCGAATTAAATTAGATCAGATACGATTTATATAATATTAGGTTAGATTCGGGTTTCAATATTGAAAAATAAAAAACTTTGGATCGAATCGAGTCGAGTTCGAATTTTACGAGTATAAAATCAAATCATATTTGAGATAAGCAAAAATTTATCTCGATCCGATCCGTTGTCATCTTTAATTCTGCTCTTTTGTCTTGTCTACAGTTTTCACAAGCTAAATAGGCAGAAAATATTTTTTATAACCAAGATCATAATTTGAAATAAAAAAATTTGTAAATGTTAGAATTTTAATTTTTTGTATTATTTTTAAAAATAATTATATGAATTTTTTAAAATTTAGGTTCATCTTTTCATTTCATTTTTTTTAAATGCAAATAATTTTAGTAAGTGGCAATAATCGTGAATTTCTTAATTTATTAGCAGATTTCTTGAAGCTAAATTTTGATTCAATTTAAGAATAATATGTCTGTATTCATTTTTTTCCTTCCTTATTGACTTTATCTCCTATGTATGTTTAGTCTACTAGGTTACATAATTTAACAAGAAGTTTTTTTAAGGTTGAATTAGAAGTTAGGAATATAATTAGATCATCCTTATATATTTATTTTAAATATTGATATTTATTTTTTAATAATGTGACATCATTTAAATTATTAATAGTGCATAAAGTTTATGTATTGATAGTATATTAAATATAAACTTTTAAAATTATGATTTATTATTAACATATAAATTTTATATATTATCAATAAATTAAATGATATTATTTCATTAATAAAATGAATAAGATAAAATTATCTCATTAATAAGTAAATTTTATAAAAAAATATTAATTTTTATATATTTATTTCAAGAATTAATTTTTTTATTAATAAAATGATATCATTTAATTTTGTATCAATTTATAAAATCTTTACGTTAATAATATATTAAATATGAACGCAACAAGTTATATTAAATATCAATAAACAAAAGTTTAAGTTAACGAAGTTGAAGAAGGCTGGAATCACGTGTTGAATTTCATATATAAATATATATATATATATATATATATTAAGTTATAGATTTTGTTTTATATAGGTTAAAATATTAAAAAATGCTTAAATTATTTCATTTTTACATAATACATATATTTTATTATATTCAAATAAATTCTTAATTTTGTTTTGTATTTAAATAAGTTTTTATTTCAAATAAAAGATTGATTTATATTAATTATTTATTTAAATACAAATTAAATATTAAAAATCTATTTAAATACAAATTAAATCTTAAAAACTTATTTAAGTTCAAATTAAAGATTAAGCATTATTTAAATATAATAAAAATATATGAACTTATTTTAACTTTTGTATATATAATAATCTTTTAACTCCATGAGTAAAATTAAAGAGATAAATAATATTTTTTATTTTTAATATATTTTAAGAAATATATATCAACATTCTAACCCTATTTACAAAATCTAAAAACATTGTTGATTGGATGAAACAATTTCTTTAAAAATTAAATCTCATCATAATTAATAACGTTTTAGTGATTTGAAATATTTTAAATTATTTTAGGCAAAAAAGTTAGTAATAACATAGCATTTCAAATACAAAAGTTGATGGGGGAGAGGGCTTGGTTCGTTAGAGGCAAGCTGATTTGATCGATCACTAGCACTCCAACAATGGGGTTTTGATCGATCACTAGTTGAAGGGATCATGCCATCTTGAAGTGTAATGGCCTGGGACTTATGCCAATATTTCGTGCAATTAATAAGCTTGAAAATACTCTGGAAGTGTGCTCTCTAAATTCTCTCTTTGTGTGTCTAAATAAACCTGAAAATACTTTCGAAGGATAGTACTCAAAAGAATATTGAAAGATACTCTAGAATTAGAAATAACTAAAAATAAGAGATATTTAAAAATACTATAACCTCTATTAACTCAAGTGTTTTTATATATAAAATGAGGAAGGGAACGCTGGCGGACTGTCCTTCAAAACAGAGGGGGACTTGGCCCCAAAAGTTTTCAAAACCTTTAATATATATTATTATATCATCATATAATCAATCATTCATGTTATTTGGTTAAAATAATTAAATTAACTTTCATATTATAATTATTATTTATTAATGATTTTAATTTTTAATTTATTTATGCATTTAATTTAAGATTAACTAAAATTATATTATTATTTGTCTATTTATTTTATTCAAAATCATTATTCATAAACTCTTAAAAGTAATATATTCATCATAAATATTAAATAACACTCATTCAAACTTAAAATATAATAATAATAATAATAATAATAATAAATAACTTTTTATCACCTATGTATCATAAGTATATATTTTTTTAGTTCACTATACTTATTTTATCATATCTTTTTTATTGTTTTATTTTTTTTACTTGATGTAATTTAAAATGAATTATGTTAATTGCTTGAATTTTTCATTGTACTTGAAGTATTTGATATATATATATATAATACACACACACACACGCATATGAGATAAATGTGAGTATGAAATTCGAACAATCCAAATATACATAAAAATTTTTAAAATGAGCACATCAATATTGAATATATACCTATATTTAATGCTCGCTTTCAAATTGTATTATTAACATAACAAACAAAAAATATATATTATATAATTTTAATTAATCCCTTCAAAATTAAATATCAAAATATGTCACTGGATAGGGAGATCCTTTATTTATAATTGAAGCTTTCATGAATCAATGGTCTAGATTAACTTGATCCAAAAGTTATTATAGAGTTTAAAATTACAAAAAAAATTACATAAGATATATGTCAAAGAGTTCAAATTGTATATGAAATTATGAGAGTTTTCATATCCTTTTAGAAGGTGAGCCTATTGGGTCTGCTGGGTAGACTTGATCTACCCACTCCGGAGCCTGGTCCGGCTGGGGCATTTTTAGAAGCATTTTCCTTCGTCCGAGGAGTTGCTGTGGGCGGCCTGTGCTCCTGTGTTGCTCTCTGGGCCCTAGCCCTGCTGACTAAATCGGTTGATGATGCCTAGGCCTCTGCTGGACTCGGGGGGCCGTGACAGAAGCACCTTCCCAAGGCCTGCAACTCTGTCCTATAATTAGGTGACTTTGGAGGTTTTGGACGCATTTTTTTGCCAATTCGGCCTATAATTTGGTGCTGATTGTGAAGTCACCGCATCGTGTAGGTCCAACTAAACAAACTCTTAATTATATATATATATATATATATATATTTGAAAGGGATAATATTAAATAGTAAAATGTTGGTCTTGGTATTTAAATTTAAAATTTTTTTAATATGATATTTGATTTATAAATTTATTAATTAATATAATATTTTAAAAATTATTTATGTGTAATGTATTATCATTTAAAATTAATAATATTAAAAATAAGTATTATATTAATTAATAAATTTATAATTAAATATTTTATTAAATATTTTTAAATTAAAATATTTTACTATAATTTAATAGATATTAACTTTTTTGAAAAGAACAAAATCTAATCATTTGAATGCATTTGTGTACGAATTATATTCCTCATTAGCCTTGCCACTTTTTTTTTTTTAAATTATAATTTATATTTGTCATTAAACATCTACGGGGATCAATTTGTCCATTAAAGCCACGGGTTGGGTTTTAGATAAAAATTTTTAAGTTTAGTTTTGATTTTATTAGAATTATTATTTTATTAATAAAAATATTTTTCATTTAAATTTAATTTTAAAATATATTTAAAATAGATTAAAATAATAAAAAAATTTAACATTATAACTTTAGTTAAATAAGTTCTTAAACTTTTATTATATTCAAATAAATTCTTAATCTTTAAATTATATTCAAATAAATCCTTAACTTCTAATTTATATCTAAATAAACCCTTAAACTTATAATTTGTACCTAAATAAAACTTTCAACATAAATTATTTTTTTATTTGAAATAAGAGTTTATTAAGATACAAATTAAAATATAAATATTTATTTAAAAACAATAAAAGTATAGAAATTTATTTAAAAAATAAAATAATTCAAAGGTTTTTAGTATTTTAACCAATGTAAACATAAAAGTAATTTTATTTTTTTAATATTATTTTAGATGGTGTTGAACTCATTTGGGCCTAAAGGGTAAGGCTTTTAAGGTTTTAAAAGTGACAGTTGAGCCTAATCAATCCATTTAGAGGTCTACTTGTTGCAAATAATACTAATTTTTCGCATAATATATATATATATAATATAGTAATATACATAATTTATCTTTTCTTTTTTCCACTAATTTTATATGCATTCTTACATAGAACTTTCAAATTAATCATTGGTAGAATGTCTAATTTCAAAACAAATAAATAAATAATAATTTGTAGATGGTCTTGAGCCCTATGATTGGGATTGGGAAAGAATGGTGTACTCTTTCAATCAAGTGAGATTATGCAACCCTGAATTTGATCATCCAAAATGCCTTAATTTATAAATTTTGGGATTTAAGGAAAATTTTCCTTTATATTTTAGCTCAATGTTGAATTTTTTTCCTTTAAACTTTGATTTTGGGTGACTTCAAAATAATGTATTAGAAGAATAAAATAATTCATAGAATATTTTGACTGTATCAACCCAAGCGTATATATGGGCCTTGAGGCAGCCACATAACCCAAGTCAAGTAGGACTCTGGCTCAAAATCTGTACCCTATTAGAGACTTTTGGGCCATGGCCCTATAAACCATAAAAAAAATTGCACTCGTGTTAATTTTATTTTTTTTCATTTTTGTAATTGTCTATAAAAAGTTTTTGATAAAAGGCAAAAGATAACTAGAAAATTTTGGACCTCCTTCCATATATACCCTGTTTAGTGCCATCATCTCGGTGGAAAAGCGACTGACTATTCATCCTTTTTCTCGTATGCAATTGGTCCAATGGGAGAGCCAATGAATTGGCATGCATATCGGTACAGAAAACAAAGTGTAAAAACTTTCTTTTTCACATATGCAACTTCCGCAGCAACGAGTATGCCATCTTTATATGATCACACTAATCATGTGGAAAAGGACACTTCCAACAGAATTACCCCAAATGAAGATTATATTTTATAATAAAAAACCATGTATTTGAAATAAAGAATGAATTTGTAGGAATTAGAATTTAAAATTTGAATTTAATGAATGTTAAATTTTAAAAATAATTATATCAATCAATTAAATTTAATTTTAGATTCATGATTATATAGATATATTTTCTTTCTTTTAATTTTTCTTTCCGCCAAATTAACTTTTAGATGTGAACATAAATTAACAAGGTGGCTAATGGTTTTAGCCTAATCTGTACGCCTACAAATATATATTAAATAAAGTTTCACGACTAAAATCTATCTTATTTTATGTAAAAGGCATGTAAAGTGTCAACAATTTACGCCAATTTTCTTCCAAAAGGAAAAGTGAATGGGACGCGCAGGGAAAATTGTCAAACGTTTCGACTCGACCTGGGACCCAAAATCCAACCCGTGTGCATACTATCCCTGAAAATAGCATCTCTTTCTTGGAATTGTATCTATTAGTACTACACTATTAAATCAAGAATCTAGTACAAAATTATAGTGAAAATGAAGAATTGCATGTGTGGGGACGGTATAGCTCCAGCCCTTAATTCCATCCATTATAAAAGGGCAGCAAGTGTTCTAGTTCTGAACCACAGCAGAACCCAAAGATGTCTAAAGCTAGCTTGCTTCTTCTGTTTCTCCTTGGAGTGGTGGTTTTCATCACCACTCCTTCTCTAGCTGATGAACCTCCCAAGGGTAAGGGAGGGAAGCCTTTTCCTGGTGAGCACCCTCCAGAACACAAGCCACCAACACACCCCGGAGAGGAACCACCTAAAGGTAAGGGAAAGGAGCCACCACATGGAGAAAAACCTCCTCACAGACACCTTTTGGGTGAGGATGGTGAGGACATACACAAAACTCCAAAAAACTCAGGTTTCAAACCACCCAAGGGTAAGGGAGAAAAGCCTCCCCATAAGCCTCTACGTGAACATGAGCTATCAAGATTCCAAAATGGTGAACCACCCAAAAAGCCATTCCCTGGTGAGAAACCACCAGAACACAAGCCATTACCGGAAAACAAACCATCAAAGGGTAAGGGAAAGGAGCCACCACATGGGGGAAAACCTCCTCACAGACGCCTCTTAAGTGAGGATGTTGAGGACACACACAAACCGCCAAAAACCCCAGGTTTTAAACCACCCAAGGGTAAGGGAGAAAAGCCTCCACATGAACATGAACTATCAAGATTCTCAAATGGTAAACCACCCAAAAAGCCATTCCCTGGTGAGAAACCACCAGAACACAAGCCATTACCGGAACACAAACCACCAAAGGGTAAGGGAAAAGAGCCATCACATGGAGAAAAACCTCCTCACAGACGCCTCCTAGGTGAGAATGTTGAGGACAAACACGAGGGACCAAAATTTCAGATACCACCCAAGGCTAAGGGAGAAAAGCCTCCAAAAGTGCCACCCCACAAGCCTCCACAAGGCAATTAGCTAGGGGTGCCTAAAATTAGATGATGATCATTCATCAGCACGATAGATGGTACTACTTTATTGTTCAAATAAGAGTGCTGATGTGGATTTATCCTTTATTATTGGTTTCTAGTTATAGTACATTCCATGTTGGCCGTGCCGTTTGTTGTGTTTGTTCGTGACTTGTTTGAGGCCATGAGTACGGCTTTATGCAGATTTGTATTTGCTTTTCAGAAATTTCTGCGCCATCTCATCTATGGTTTGTCTTTTTATGAATATAGACTTAATTTCTACATTATATTGATCTTAGAATCTTTTGTTTTGAGTTAATTTCAATCAATGTGCTTTCGCCGCGTTCAGATTTTGGATTGTAATTGACAAGTAACAAAGCTTTAACCCCACCAAACATTATTAAATGATCCTATCAAGTGATGAAAATTTGAACTTGGTCAACGGATTATATTGGGAATTTGAAATATAATCTAAAATATATAAAAATCATAATCAAATTAATAAATTTATAGCTTACTTTCCCATCAATTTATGATTTTCTTTTTTTTTTAATTGTGAAATTAAAGAAAAATATTTGAAATGAATTAATCACTAAAGAGTAAAGAAGTGTTCAGGCACCTGGTCAATAGCTATCAACATCTTGAGATCTCAGCCTTTGGCTCAAGGCTCAAGCTGCTTATTTTATTTTTATAATTATAATATTAATATTTTGTATTAATATTTAATAATTTAGTTAAATATATTTCAAAAAATATATTATTTAATAATATAGCAATATGATCAAATCTAGCCTGAATCTTAAAATTTTATCCAAAACCTAGCTCAAGTTGAACCGTCAAATTTAGTGCTAACCTTATTTATGAATAGGTCTAATAATCATAATTAATTGAATTTATTATTTAGCATTTTACCTCGTTCTTTTACTGAATTTTGAAGAAGTTCCAAGGAATAAGAACCAAATCTCAACTATAATTCTACAAAACTTGAATTAGAGGTGTAATGAGTTTGAGTTAATATAGTGAGAAGTTCGAGCTTAAATTCGATTCAAAATTTATTGTTTGAAATTTGGTTTGAATTTGATAAAATTTTAATTTTTAAATTCAAATTCGATTCGAGATAGAAATCGAATTACTCAAATTTTCTTGATTAGATTTATTTATCGAATAAAAAATAAACTTGATTCCAATGCTCGACTTCAAGTTCGGTTATTTGTATTTGATTTTAAGTTCATGCTTAAATTGGTTTATATATAAAAGTAAAATAATAATTTTTAATTAAAATAAAAAATAAATATAAAAATATAAAAACTTAATTAGACTCACAAGTTATTTGAATTGGATATAATATACTCGAATTTGATTCACTTGATAAATTGAATTACTCAAACAAATTTGACTCAATAATGATTGAGTTGAATTCAAATTTATCTAAATCATATCTGAATAATTTACGAATATCTATACATATATTGAAAAAATCCCTTAAGAAATGGCCAAACTACCATTTTCATTATTTGATAAAATTTTGACATATAGCAAAATTGACTATTATGCCATCATATTATAATTATGAAAATATTATTTCTTTTATAATTATTTATTATAATACACTTATAACATAATTACAAAAATACTTTTCTTTTATAAATATTTATTATAATACTTTCATACCAAAATTACGAAAAAACCTTCTCTTAAATTGACTATTAAGATATCATACCATAATTACAAAAATATCACTTTTTTTTAATTATTTACTATAAAACCCTCATATCATAATTACGAAAATACATTTTCTCTTATTATTGAATTACTAAAATACACATATTCTTATTATTGACTAAAATTACTATAATATCCTTCTATCATATTTACAAAATTACCTTTTTTTTTCATAATTGATCAAAATTACTATAATATTACTTTTATAATATTTATGAAAATACTTTTATGAATGCTTAATAGGAAGTTAACATACGACATTCTATTTCAAAATCAGAAACATATATTAAAATAATCTCCTTAGTAATTATTATAATAACTTTTTGTTTATTTGATATGATTTTGACACGTGTCTAAAATTATTATAATATCTTTCTATTATAATTGTTTTAAATGCTTATCTTCTTATAATTAGTTAATATTAATATAATACCCTCCTACAATAATTACAAATATACCCTCCTAATATATTAGCTAAAATTACTATAATATCCTTCTTACCAAAACTATGAAAATACCCTTGCCATAGTTAGTTAAAAATTATTATAATACCTCTCATATCATAATTATAAAAAATACTTTTTATAAGTACTTCATAGGAAGTTAACAAATAGCATTTGTTTTAAAATTACTGTAATACCTTTATTAAATTATATATTAAAATTTAACATGATATAAAATTAATCACATAGTAAATTATTAAATTATTCTTGCCATTAGTTTATAAGTGATATTTTATTTAAAAATTACTATAATACCCTTATTAAATTATATATGAAATTTTAATGTAATATAAAATTAACTATATATTAAATTATTAAAATACCCTTACCATTACTTTATAAAAATTTGACATGTGAAAATTTATTTAAATTTACTATAATACCCTTATTAAATTATATATGAAATTTTAATGTAATATAAAATTAACTATATATTAAATTATTAAAATACCCTTACCATTACTTTATAAAAATTTGACATGTGAAAATTTATTTAAATTTACTATAATACCCTATTAAATTACTTATTAAATGTTAAATAACGTTTATTAAAACAATTTCCACGAAAATTATTATAGTAGTCTTTCATTTATTTGATATGATTTTGACACGTATCCAAATTTACTATAATACTTTTTTATTATAATTATGGAAATACTTATCTTTTCATAATTAGCTAAAATTATTATAATTTTCTCTTACTATAATTACAAAAATATTTTTTTATTATAATTGATCAAAATTATTATAATGTCATCTTACCATAAATACAAAATACCCCTCTTACCATATTTGACTAAAATTATTATAATACCTTTCATACTATATTTGTAGAGACCCACATTCAATTTGTGAAGTATTGTTCATTTTGATAAGAAAGTTTCACGATTTTATTTTACAAAAAGTAAATCATAGATTTTGGTTTAGATTTCTACATATATATCATACCATATCCATACATTCTTTTAAGGTGAGATTGAGGATGATATAATTTCTCCACTTTTAAAGCTTGACGTCTCTATCCAACCACAAGATAAAGATCATACTAGATGTTAAGATTTTAGAGGTGGCTCTCTACTGTGTAGCACTTAGTAACATCCACGGCCTTATTATGTAGCACTTAGTAACTCTCATTATGTAACACTTATTTTTGTCGATTGGTGACCGCTCTAATATCGTTTGTAGATATCTATATTTATCCTGTGAGATATTATTTATTTGACCCAAATGTCTCATAATTTTATCCCACAAAAAATATTTCACAGATTTGAATTTAAATTTTACATATATATCATACTATATCCACACATTTTTTTAATATTGGATTGTGAGTATTATAATCCTTTATAAAAATCTCTCCTAACATAATTGATCGAAACTATTATAATACTATTTTATATCATAATTATGTAAATGTTGTTATGAGTGCTTCATATGAAGTTAATATGTAATATTTTATTTAAAAGTTATTATAATATTTTTATTAAATTACACATTAAATTTTAAGATATTGTAAAATTAATCACATATTAAATTATTGAGATATACTTATCATTGTTGGCATGTGATATTTTATTTAAAATAATCAAAATAAAATGATTAGGTGAACTAAATAATAATAATTCTATTAAAATAAAAAATTAAATATTTTATATTTTAAAATAAAAATATTTAATTTCCATTGAGGACCGCACACTAAGTAATGTATCATTTTACAACCGTAACGTGGACTTCTCCTTCCAGGCACCCGGCAGTCAAGATAAAATACATCGTGGGTTGTGGGTGGTGGGGGCGGGGGGGGGGGGGGGGGAGAGGATCAGATGAATTCACTTTCTTTTCTTCATTTCTTTAATCCTTTTTTTTTTCTCCCACTGAGAGAAAGTGGAATGAAAAGGACAAAAGAAAAGAAAAGCAAAACAGTATTCATATCGGAAGACTAAACTAGGTGACAAAACAGCAAAAGATTGAAATCATTTTTACTTGTTTAAATTGTTCTTTAAGGGATGCTAATTGCTAAGAAGGTAAAATTCCACAGACGGGACACCAAACAAAAAAAAAATTCCACAGACAAAAATAATTTTATTATTTATTTATTATTTTAATAAAAATAAAAATAGAAAATTTCACAGAATATATATATATATATATTTATATTTTTTTCCATCGATATGCGTAGCAGCAGCCCACCGCTACCACTTTGAATGGGCATGTTCATTAGTAGCATCATCCATTAGGCCTGATTGGAGTCGGCTCTAGGACAAAATTTTAGGACTTAGTCTTATTCGAAAACATATTATATATATTATATATTAATACACAATATATTTAATTAAAGTCTAATTTTAAAAATATTAATTAAAAATATTTTTTATTATTTTAATAATATAAATAACTTAAATAACCAAACTTGATTTGAAATTTTAAGATATTAATCAAACATGATATAACTTTTAGACACCCCTAATCTTAAAAAAAAAAGTATATGTTAACTCTTTAATTTTATTTGTGTTTTTTTTTTTGTTCTATCGCAGAATAAAACGTAAGGATAAGTAAAGTTTTTTTTTTTTTATTCTTTATTTATAAATATTCAAATTTTAATTCTTAATACCCCATAAATAGTTTGAACTTTATAGGAGCAATATTCAATTTTCGCTCCAATCGTTTATAGAGGAATCTTACCTTTTCAGATTCATTCAACACACGTAATTTTTTTTCTATCAATACATCCTGTAATTTGTATTTGAATTTCTTTTGCATCCGCTTGCTCAATTAATTCAATAGCCTTTTCGTCTTCATCTTTTGCGAATGGAAGCACCATGTCTCCTAGCCAGGGCAAGGAATTGAATAAGAAGAAGATGATTCTAGAACTCCTGCTAGTGCCCTGTACACTTCATACTTCCTAGAAAAGTTGTAGTAGTCTTTCACTTCCCAAAGAGTCCTTCTGATAATAGACTTCCAAGCCAAACGTAACAAAGATGGCAGCTAGTTCGCCAGCTAACCACACTCAGCGCTCTGAAAGAATAGCTTATGCCTATGCCATTTGATTCATAAAAGGAAGGTTCGATACCGTTTGTTTACCTTCTTACCCTTCTTTTTCCTTTTGTCATTGAGTGTCCTCCTGAAATTTAAAATTTTCATTAATTACATAATTTTTTTTTTAATAAAAACACAAATTATATTCCTAAAAAATTATGATTTTTTATATGGTAGTAAAGTTTTTAAACTTCATAAGTAAAATTAAATAATTCTTTTATAATTATTTAATAATTTATTTATTTAACAAATTTTTTTTATAAATATATATCCATAAAACACATACAACCCTCTAATAAGTTTGTGAAATTTGAAATATTACAATATAAAAAATATAATTTTTATTCTTTTTGGATACATTCTTGGTAATATTTTCTACTGGCCAAACAAAATATTGATGATGGTAATAATTTTTATTCTAAAAAAAGTGAGGGCCATGGATCGAGGAATTCTCTTAATAATATAGTAAACAAGTAAAAGGATGCTTTTGATTTGGAGTTTTGACCTCATGTAACCGGAGAATTAGCAGGTTATACCTGTCATGGCCTTCAATTTAATGGTCTAGGCGTGTCCGTCGTTCCCACATGAAAGCATGTGTGGTAACGACATGTCTCCAGCGCTTTTCCAATTCATTTATAAAAGGGTAGCAACTCTTCCATTTGTGAATCGCAGTAGAAACCAAAGATTTCCAACCATGTCTAAAGCTTGCTTGCTTCTTTTTCTCGTTGGATTCGTGCTTCTTTTCACCACTACTCCCTCTTTAGCTAATCAATTACCCCATGATAATAAGCCTCCACACGAGCATGAACCACCAAGATCCGTAAATGAAGAACCATATTATAGTCCATTTTATGGTGAGAAACCACCGGAACAAAAGCCACCTGTGGATAAGGGAGAGAAGCCTCCACAAGAGCATGAGCCAGCGAGATTACTAGAGGAAGAGCAATATTATAGTCCATTCTATGGTGAGAAGCCACCGGAACAAAAACCACCCACGGGTAAGGGAGAGAAGCATCCACCTGAGCATGAGCCAGGGAGATTACTAGAGGAAGAACAATATTGTAGTCCGTTCTATGGTGAGAAACCACCGGAACAAAAACCACCCACGGGTAAGGGAGAGAAGCATCCACCTGAGCATGAGCCAGGGAGATTACTAGAGGAAGAACAATATTATAGTCCATTCTACGGTGAGAAACCACCGGAACAAAAACCACCCACGGGTAAGGGAGAGAAGCATCCACCTGAGCATGAGCCAGGGAGATTACTAGAGGAAGAACAATATTATAGTCCATTCTATGGTGAGAAACCACCAGAACAAAAACCACCAATCCAGCAACATAAACCTCCTCACAGACGTCTTCTAGGAGAGGATGTTGAGAACACATACGAACCATACAAGAGTCCTTTCTCTGGTGAGAAACCACCCAAGGGCAAGGGAGAGAAACCTCCACATGAGCATGAGCCAGGGAGACTACTAGAGGAAGAACAATATTATAGTCCATTCTATGGTGAGAAACCACCGGAACAAAAACAACCAATCCAGCAGCATAAACCTCCTCACAGGCGCCTTCTAGGAGAGAACGTTGAGGACTCACATAAGCCATCAAATTTTCTTGGTGTTATGAAACCACCCAAGGTTAAGGGATATAAGAAGCCTCCTCAGGAGCATAAACCACCCCTTGAACATCTACCAGGAAATTGAGGACTTGCACAAACCCCAAAGTGCCACACCACAAGCCTCCACCCGGATATTAAGTACCTAAATTTAGAAGATCACCAGCATAAGCATGATAGGGCTAGTCTATTGTACAAATAAGAGCTGATGCTGATTTATCTCTATCTAGCTAGTTAGCCATCCAAGTTGGCCATGTCGTTTTTCCTGACTTGGAGCCCATGATTACGGATTTATGCAGTTTTGTTCTTTGTTGTTTCTGAAATTTCTTCCTCATATATATATATATATATATATGCGTGTGATTTGTCTTTGTATGATATGGATTTTCTACATTACTCACTAGTTCGAGATTTTTTTATTTAAGTTAATTTTATCCACCGTGCTTTTGCCGCATTCAAATTTTGTATTTTGGGATTTAACCCCTTAAAAATAATATATATATATATATATATATTATATCATTGCAAAAAAATAGGTATTTAGCGGTGTTTTTAAATAAACCTCATAAAATTTCATGTTTTTATAAAGTTAGTGACGTTTTTTTATAAAATACCACTAAATTTTATATAATAACTTTTGGATTTAAAAATATCACTAAAAAAATATTTTTATGACGTTTGTTAACCTAAATACTGTTATATACTTTGACTTTTATAAATATAGTGACGTTTATAATGTAAACAGTGTTAACAGATGTTTTTACACTTTTTAAAATACCCTCAAAACGACATAAGGAGAAATTAAACCTAAGATCTTATTATTAATAGTGATTTATATATTTTTGATAATTTATTAAATCAACTATTTTATCGTTAAATAATATTTTTTATTAAATTAAAAATTTTAATTATTTTTTTATTTTCTTATTAACATTGAAGAGCTTATTAAAGTAAACTTTCTTAAGTGAGAATTTTCATACTGAATTAAGTATTAACTAATTTTCATTTATCTATTTATATACTAATCTTGAATTTTTTATTAAAGTAAATTATTCTTGATAAAATTTAAATTTAACTATATAAAATTAAATTTACTACTCCATGATAGTAGGGTTGAAAAAAATTAAAAAAAAAACCAAAAAATTAATTTGAACCGAGGAGTTTGGATTGATATTATTTGGATTTTAAAATGTTTGATTTGGATTCAGATAGAAGAAGTCATAAAAATCGCATTCATTCGGATCGATTCTGTTTATTTTGGTCGAATTCGAAAAAAATCCAAATCAATATAAATTAAAATAGGGCCAAAAAAAATTAAGTTTTAAATTGTTTGATGTTTGAAGTCAAAATCCAAATGTACCATTCAATTATACATGCTTTAAGCCCATTACCCAACCCACCTGCACTCCATTATCCAATACCCACATGTTATCCTTTAAAAATGAAAAACAAACAACAATTTATTTTTGACGTTTTTACTCTTTAGTTTACCGACATTTCACTTAGATTTTTTACCCTAAAATTTTAGAATCCTAACAAGCTAACACTATTCATCCTCTTTTACTCTCTGTCAGTCTCTCAATATGAACCTAGAAACAAAGCAGTCATCGCCACCAACACCAACCTCTACCATCACATGATGACGCCAGCCGCCTTGCCCCAGTGTCAATTTTGGAAGCCGTAACTACCAAATTATTCCTCTTTTTCTTCCTTAACCTCTTTTATGATGTAGATTTCTTAAAAAAAAAAAAAAAAAACCCACTAACAAGCCTAGATCTAGATTTGAACTTCAAGAATTCTGCCAGCTATTCCTCTGGTTTCCAGCAACCCAAAAACTATCTAGAACTCCCTTTCTTCTCTTTTAACTAAACTTCGATTCAAAAGCACAAACCTTTCCCTCAAATATCCTTCAATCGAGAACCAAAATCTCATTACCTAATTTTTTTACTTATCGCGAATGAATCTGTTGTGTTGACTGTCGAAATTATATTCTATATTTGTTGTGATTTCTTTCGCTGGGTTCTTGTTTCTGGGTTTTGGATTTAAGGTCTTCTATAGGGTTGTGTAATTAATGAATACTTTGGGTAAAATAGCTTAAACTAAAAAATCCAAATAACCGATCCGAGCCAAATTAAATCAAATTTATACGGATCGATTTTATTCGAATATTTATCTTATGCAAATCAGATATGAATCAAAAAAATAAAAAATCTGTATAAATAAAATCGAATAAAAAAAATAAAAACCCAAACTGATCTGATTCGATATCACCCTTTTATGGTCGTGTTAAAGAAACACAACTACCTACATAGATTAATGATTGAAACTTATATCGTTTTTTGGGCCAAAATACCAACTAATTAATGAAAAATGACCTAAAGATTAATTGCTACATGTGAGTGAACCTATTTTCTTTTTCCTTCATTAATAATAAACTCAAATTATTATTTGTGTATTAATGTTTTAAGTACTATCCTTAATTGGTTAATTTTGTAATCTAATTTTTTGCCTTTGACAATTCAATGAGAATCAAGTTGTCAGTAATATTAAGAAATGTTAATCCCACCTTACTCTTTACTTTTATTTCACTAAAGAATAATTTAAAATTACTTTTAATAACTTTTATTTTAATCAAATCAAATTATTAAAAAAAAATTTTTAATATTAATTTCGTAAATACTTCACCTATTTCATTTCAAATCAAGTGACCTTATTTTTTATAACTTAAAATATTCCACCTAATTTTATTTTCGTATTATAATTTTATTTTAGCTTTTAAGTTAATTTTTTAGGTGAAATGATGTAAATCATGACACCAGACTCAAAGCAAAAATTTTATAAAAATTTAATATTATAAATATATCAAATTATAATAAAATATTTAATATAATATTTAAATTTAAAAAATTTTTAATGTAATTTTTGAATTGTAAATTTGTTAACTAAATAAGTAGCTAAATTTAGAAGATAAAGGCGTAAGCATGATACGGCTAGTTTATTGTACAAATAAGAGCTGATGCTGATTTATCTCTATCTAACTAGTTAGCTATCTCTATCTAACTAGTTAGCTATCCAGGTTGGCTGTGTCCTTGTTCTTCACTTGGAGGTCATGATTACGAATTTATGCAGATTTGTACTTTGTTGTTTCTAAAATTTCTTGGTTGTATACATATCTATAGAGAGAGAGAGAGAGAGAGAGAGAGAGAGAGAGATAGATGGTTTGTCTTCGTCTGATATGAATTTTCTACGTTACTCACTAGTTCGAAATCTTTTTATTTAAGTTAATTTTACCCACCGTGCTTTCGGTGCATTTAAATTTGATATTTTGGTTCACCACAGACAAAGATTTAACCCCCTAAAAATAATATATATATATATATATATATATATATATATATACACACACTCACACACCTAAATGCATTCATTTGACTCATTCACATAATATATAAATTTTCGAAATTCTATTATAGACATAAAAATTTTAGTACTTTTAACTTAAGTATTTGAATAAAAAGTGACTTTATGAAAAGAATGTATAAAATTAGTTCATATAGTAATCTCCTACTATCTATACTATTATATTAACGTAGTTTTGAGACTGATGGTTTTTTAATTTACTGTCCACGTTGTTTATACCATAAAATAACGATTGAAGGGTAAATTTGGGTTTTGGGTAGATGAAATATGAGTGAGCCGAGTGGATGGAGGGATTAAGGGAGGGAGGAGAGAGATGGAGAAAAACAGAGAGAGAGAGAGAGAGAGAGAGAGAGAGGAATTAACTTTCCCTTTCTCTTTCATGCATTGAAGCTTTGGATCTTCAAGAATTTATTGTTGAAAAAAAAAAAAGGATTGAAGCTTTTGGTAGGTATGTTCCCATATTTGGGCCGATCACTGAGGGAAACAAACAAAAGCACAAAGCAATTGTTAGCTTTAAGAGACAAAAGTAATATTTTTTTTTTCAAAATGGGTTTTTTCAATGATTTGTTTAAGAGGGTTTTAGAGAAAAAATTGGAGCTCAAGGACATGATTTTTTTCGTGGATTACTAACATGGTAGCTTTGAACTTTGAAGAAAAATGGGGAGAAAGAAGAATACAAGAAAGAAAAAGAAATAGCAGAAGATTAGTGCTTCTTTTGCAAAGATGGTGGATTGCTAAGGGTCTGTGACTAATGTTTGGTCAATATTTTTCTTTTTATCAAGTATGGACTACAACGAAAGATTTTTTTTTTTTTTGGGTTTGATTTTATGGGTTTTGATTTTTATTTATTTTGTTGCTGCATGTAAAATATGAAATTTTATTTTTTATTTTTAGGGTAGAAAGTGAAACCCAAATTATTTTAGTTATCTTTTTTTATTTTGGTATTTTAAAATTCTTTTAATGATTTTATATCTCTGAGAATATATACAATTGATCTTATCTGTTGCCTTTATGGGTCATCCTTACAATGTTGCAAAGCTTAAAAAAGAGTTATGATTAGGCCTTACAAAGAGATGATGTGAAGGCAATTGTTGTTACAGATAAGTTCAGGAAGATTACCCTTAAAACTTAAGGAAAAGTTGTGCAAAGGTATTGTGTTTGTTAGTGATTTTCCAACACTGGAATTGGTGATTGAGATACTAATGTAGTTTGTCCTTTGTTGGAAATGAAAAATTTTCTGGTGGTTTTGATATTATAGCTTTTGGTGGAATTCAAAGGGGACATGGCGTGCACATGGCTTTTTTTTTTTTTTTAAATATATTGTCATGTTGCACTACCTTGACACTAACTTGACATTGATAAGGTTAGTTGTATTTTACAGTGCAGCAGCCAAAGCCTGGCTATATATCAATTGAGGTTCTTACTGACTCTTTAGAAGGTACTCACTTGGTCGTAATTATTTTTAAACTGGACAGCATATTTGCCCATTTGTGTAGGATTTACCCATGCTAAACCCTTCACAGTAGTACTTAACATTAAGGTCACTAGGTGGTCCTGCAGTTCTTCTTTTGTTAGCCATGCAAGGCCTTTTTCGAGGATTTAAAGACACAAAAACTCCTTTTATGACACTGTTATATCCTATTAACAGAGTTTGGCATTGGTTTTGATCTTCTTTAACACATCAAGAAACTCGCCTTTCTTCCACTCATTTCTCATCTACTGACTATTTTAAATGGTTG